TGCTGAAATGACGCTGTTAGTTTTGGGTTTGTTTTTCCCCTCACTGCCTGTTTGCCTTGAGATTTAGCGATGGTTTATTTCAAGTTTACCAAAACTTGGAAAATTAATTTTAGCCTGTTACTGGGATAATATGGAATAACAAAACTTGAATCTCAAGACCAGGCAACCAGCCTCTTAAAGGTTCCTCCTTTTCCATTTTTTAAAAAAAAAAATTAACACCTACACGTGTTAAGGGAGTTATCAGTGTAGTCTCAGAAAAGCTGCTTTATATCCAAAGTTATTATTTAGAGGAGGAAATTTTTTTTTTTTTTTAAATACACAGAAACTGAATTGAGATTTTTCATTAAAGGAAGAATTCAAGCTTATCTCCAAAGCTGCCTCTGGAATTTCCATGGAGGGTGGGGTTCGGGTTTGAGCAGCCAGAGGTGGGTTCACACCAGCAGCTGAGTCTGGTGCGATCCTGGCTCCGTTTCTCTTGCATACTTCCACACACATGCACCACCCCATCTGTTCTGTTCTCAGTGCCAAGACAAGGGCACTTGCCAGGCACTTGAGCAAGCTGAGATATCAGAAATGTATTTGTTACGAGTTCCTCGTGTTATCTTGCAATACAGCCCCCAAATTCCAGCCCATCCCCAAGTCTGGCTGCCAGAGTCTCGTGCTCATCTACAGTCTCTCTCTTGTTAAAGCTGTGGGTCTAATTTCACGAGCGGATGTTTTGGCAGTCAGTCCCCATTTCCCTCAGAGAAAGACAGCAGAGCATAGCAATGGATTAGAATTTTATTTAATTTTCAACTGAAACTCCCAAAAGCTCACTTTCAAAACAGCTGTAATATTATAAATGAACCTTTATTAAAGACACTTCAATGCCATTTGTTAGACACTTCAATATCTTACATGTTTTTCAATGTACAACATTGTACCAAATTTTCTAATAAATAAATAACTTTGTACACAAAAGTAATACTTCCTCTTTCACATTGCCTCTTAGAAGCAGCAAATTCACATATTTAGTGGAAGTCATAACATTAGGCAGTTAACTTTATTCAGAAACATTACTTTCAAATGTTAATGTGGCAAATATGCTTTGTATCTGCAATGGTGATGACATTTCCGTCAGCAAAACGAGTCAATTAAATCATTCCCATCTTCCCTGTGTTCCTGGTTCCCCTGTTTTCACCCTGCGAGTTGGTTCTGGAGCGTACTTTTCCCTTGTAGAGGAGGAAATTATGCTTGGTTTACAATTTTCTAACATCCATTTCCTTTGTTCAGATGAACTTGGCGCTCGGCATAATTAGCCACCCGTCTCAAAGTGCAAACGTGGGAATGTCAGGACTGATACGGACAGGTACCTGGCCGAATTACGCCTTGCTCCATCCGGGGCACCTTCAGCTGGCTGCCCTACAGTGAAACTCACGCCGGCTACTGCGCAGCAGAGAGGGCTTTCCCTTACCGGAGCCAGCGGCTCCTCAAGGTAAGGCTGGACAGGGCACGGTAGCACTCCAGCAGATCCCTAAGTGATGGATCTGAACAGAAAATTAAGTGTTTCTGCCCTTATCTCTGATGCATATTTTGAGCCACAGCACTAGCAAAGGTGGATTTCCACCAGACTCGGCTTCAGTGGAACTGGCGTTTTTGGTGCTCGTAAGGAAAAAAAGTAACAAAACCCCCAAATAAACCTTCCCCTGAAGTAGTCATCACCAGAGTTAGCAACCTTATGTCAGCAGAACTCAAATTACAAGTAACTGGAAGGGAGTCCTCCATCCACAGGTACCACTTACCAACAGAAAGCAGCCTTTCTATAAATAAAAAGCGTCATAGTGATGTCAGACGTGACAAAGATCTGTTTGACTGATGTGGGCATTCCTCCCCCCCACCCAGTCCTGGATGAACCTAAAAGATGACATAAAAACACGTGGGACATTTCCATTTAACAGAGAACTTTATAGTGTTTCCCTTCTCAATGAGGATATTTCTGAGTAGCCCAGAACTGCTACACAAAGCAGCATAAAATCATTTGAAGCAGATATTTTCATACGGAGACTCAGATGGGGTAACGGTATTCCACAGGAAAGTGTAAAATTCTGTTGCAGGGGGGAAAAAATAAAAGTATCAGATGAATTAACGGTACGGCTGTCAGCTTAGGAGCGTGACTTTAGTTTTGTTGTCAAAACAGCTCTATAGTTTCAAACCCCTCCAGAACAAATAAATACATTTTTTCCAGTGTGAAAAGGTATTATGCTGGCACAGATTCTTCCTTCTGAACAGGGCCAGGCTGTGCCATTAGATCCACCTTACGCAGGTAAAGCTGCGTCCATCTGGGAGGGGAAAGTCTGCACTTAGCTGGGTAGGTGATCAGGGCTGTAAAGGACACACAGGCAGATCGTGCCTTCTGCCACCAAGTTTTTGCACAGGGCGATCCGTGGGACCACCCCCAGTTTACTGCATGAATCGCTTGTTCTGGTAACGACTGCTCACTGCAACCACAGCCTGCTTGCTGTGGGGCTCTGCGCTGTTGCTGAATTATTTAGTGCCTCTTGTGTGGTCCACGTTAACGTATCACACAGTCACAGTTCAAATCCTAATTTTTATGCAGTTCTGAAAAGTAATGGAATTTAAGTTCTTCCACCAACAGGAAAAAAATCAGGTTGCCAAGCGATTTCTCACTACAAACTTCATTCGAAACAGCTGAAGATCTCTGTTTAAATGTGTAAGTGCAATAAATTTCAAAGGGGAAGGAAATTTGTGCTAAGTAAGTAACCCAACTGATACTTGATTTAAAGGAACTTCCATTGAAAAGAGGACAATCCCTTTGGAACAGTCTGGATTTTTAAGTTCTGCTTACGCATTTAAGGCACCAGATTACTTCTCTCACAAAGTTTAACAGCAACCCGATACTGAAAACAATATTGCCAAAACTGTAAAATTTCACTCAGTTTTCCATGCACTAAAGATTAAAATAGCCTCTGTAAAAGATATATATATATTTTTATATATATATATATTTATATATGAAAACTCTTATGTACAATTGTATCAAATACTTTTCTCTTTACACAATAATCCCTTGCATTTATGTGCTTCATATGCAAGTCAACTTTTGAACGCTTCATACTTCTCAGGGAAGTTTTTAACTATGTACAGA